TCACATCTAAGCAAGAAAGGCCCCAAGAAGGGCTTTCTGTGCTGTGGCCTGGGAGGAAGTAAACAGAACAGAATCAGTGGAGTGCTGGAGTTTTGAACTTTGGGTCTCATGATGGAGAAGGAAGGGCAGTGACAGCCATGGAGGAAGCAGGCATAACAAAGAGCTGGGCCTCAAGCTCTGCCTGGCATTGAAAGAGGAAATGGACAACTGGGAAAGTTTCCCCTTGTGAAAAGGGGAGGTCGGGGAAGAGATACATGTCCCCAGATATTAGGGCCTGACCCCAGGATAGAGTGTAGACCTATTTCCTAGGTCCTCTGAGATCAGTTCAGTGAAGTTATGTTAACAGACACTGAGTGGAAGTATAGATGCTGGGCCCAAGGAGGCCCCAGCCCAACCTGAAACATGAGCAGAGGCCTACATTGGAAGGAATAGGATACGCAAAGACCCGGAAGCATGCATTTATGGACTGTAGCTCAGTCAAGGATGGCTGGACTGTGGAGGTGGGGGTGTTTGTTCAAGGCCAGCTGGAGGTATTACGAGGCAGCACTCTGAAGCCCACCTGCCCTATGGTGAGGCCTCACATGCCCTATCGTGAGGCCTGGTTTCTTTGGCCAAGACTAGCATAGAACTGAAGGGACCGCCAGGCGCCGCCCTGGAAGGGGCTGCGAGGCAGGTTCCTGGCTCACCTTGCCCCTGAGCCTCCCGCAGCATACCCACCACAGGAGAAAGTTGGCGGTGCCAGCGGGGTGGCTCTCCTCACTGCATTATCCATCAGCCTGGAGGCAGCTCAGAGAGAAAACAGGCTGAGGGGTGAGATGGCTTGTTTGTGAGTCACAAATCCCATGGGTGGTTGAGCTGGGATTCAAGGCCAGGTGCACCTGCCTGCTGCCCCCTCTCTCTTCGTACTCCTCACTTTGCTCAGTAGGCCCTGTTTACATTGTTGCTGGGACATGCGTATGTATCTTTCAGTCATCAGCATTCTGACTCTGGTCCCCAACCCCCCAGGTAGAAGGTATGCTGTGTGCATTTGCCCTCATGGAATAAAACAAACCAGATGGACCTGCCCCTGCCCAGGAGTTGCTATGGGCGAAACTGGGAGACCAGTGGGTTCAACTTCTCCAAGGCCACCACAGGACAGGCCCAGTGGGTTGAGAGGTTAGGGAGAAATAGTTCGGGGAGCAAATGAGGTGAGCAAGGGCATGGAGGTGGGTCACCGAGCACACCCGGCACTGGGGCAGATCTTCTGGTCTGCTGAGCAGGAGGTCAGTGAGGAACCTCCCAGCTGGGCCTCAGTTGCAGATGGGAGCTGGGCTGTTCTTGTGGTGCAGAACAGGCCCCCCAGAGGCTGGGACTATGGCCTCTGTCAGCATTGCCCCTTCCCTGGGGTTTTCCATATTGTGTCTCCCTGACACAACTTCTTCTTTCTGGGGCCTGGCCCTGACTCAGCAGGCCTTGCCACCAGGTCACCAGGGCCGTCAGCACTGTGATGGCATTCCTGCTTGGGTGCCACGTCAGCTCCAGAGCTGCCTCCCCCTCAACCCAGTGGCCAGAGTGAGCCCAATGGAACCCTCAGATCATGGCCGTGGCCTCATTCCTGCTGGGCAGTGGTGCTGGACTACCTGGGTTCAAATCCCAGTTGTGCAACCAAGGACACACTTCTCAGTGTCTCTGTCCTCATCTGTAAGGGGGATGACAATAAGCCTGGGCTGCCCACCCACATGTGGACACATCACTAATAGGATTTAAGTCACCCAGGTCTTCATTGATTTATGAACCCCTGCTGAGTGCTAGGCACAGAGCAGTAGAAAGGGGCCGGGAACTTGCCTCAGGGAAACCACTGCTGGGAGGCTTCAGTCCCTTTAGATGCTCGGGACAGTGATGGGGAGAAACAGAGGCCAGAGGTAAAGGGCGGGTACTGACTGGTCCCTGAGGACGAGAAGGGAAATTTTGCTTAACTGTCACTGTGGTCCCCTCATCCCTGCCCCTGACCTGGGAGAGGTTGGGACGCCAGGTCCACTCAGCTCTATTTGGTGTTGCAGGGGTCGAACCTGCCCCTACGTCCAGTCTGACCGCCCTGGCCTGACAGCCTGGAGTTGTGCTCTGAGCTGCTCACAGGCCAGGCCCCAGGGGCGCCTTCCTCTTGGAGTCCAGGAAGCTGCGCATAATAGCTTTGTCTGTCCAAGCACCCACACATGACCAGCTGGGGTCCAGACCCCACATTGTGCCATGGGCTGTGAGTGCTCACTGGGTCTCTTGGTCATCGTTGATCTTTCACTGGCTTCCCTCCCAACCCCAGTGCCAGTCTATCTACCTACCTCCTCATCCACCCACCACCTCCCACCTGTTCTGTCCATCTGCCCACACAGCCAATCTGACTTGCTCTCGTTGCTCAGCCAGGCCTATGGAATAGTGTCAAGTCAGATGCCGCCCCTGCCCTGAGGGACTCAGGGTCAGTGGGGGAGATGGCCTTGCAGTGCCCACCCAGGTGGTCTCCTCAGGTTCAGTTAAACATTCAGATTCTCAAGGCCACCACAGGCCCTCGTAGCATCAGTCCCTGAGAAGCACAGAGGGAGGGAACAGCCGGCCAGGGCCAGGCCCTCCTCTGCTGTGGAGTCAGCAGCTCTATCCAGGAGCCATTAGTTCCCTGTGCCCCTCCAGGGACCCAGTGAGCACTCACAGCACAATGTGGGGTCTGGACCCCAGCTGGTCATGTGTGGGTGCTTGGACAGACAAAGCTATTACGCGCAGCTTCCTGGACTCCAAGAGGAAGGCGCCCCTGGGGCCTGGCCTGTGAGCAGCTCAGAGCACAACTCCAGGCTGTCAGGCCAGGGCGGTCAGACTGGACATAGGGGCAGGTTCGACCCCTGCAACACCAAATAGAGCTGAGTGGACCTGGCGTCCCAACCTCTCCCAGGTGAGGGGCTGAGGCTCACAGTGGACAGGTGTGGGAGCCACCTGGCTTGGAAACCTTGCTCCAAGGGGTCAGTATGGCTTCTAACAAACTCATAGGTGTGGCTTCGGGTCCTGCATGGTGTGTACTCAGTTACAAGTCACCACATTGTGGGGATCCCAAAGCTCTGCTTCTCCCAGGTTGAGACCCCACGGAGTTTCTCCTGATTGCAGTTCCTCACTCTGGCCACACGGGGGTGCTGTCTAGGAATGTGGCTGATGACAACCTTTAGCAGGTTTTAGGGGAACAGAGCGTGGAAGCTAGCTGAAGGCCAGACTCATGCAGACAGGGAGAGGGCTTTGCTTTTTCTTTAGTCCCACAGGAGACGAGGCCACCAGAGTAAGAGCACTGTGGAAGTAGCCAGGTGTCCTAAGGAGCACAGAAACTGTGGAATCAGGGATCAGGTCCTGGCTTAGATGCTAGCACAGCACCTGGAACAAAGGATATGCTTTGAGAAAATTTGGAATAATTTGTCCACAGTTCATAGCATGGAATCCTGGCCAGAGACTGAAGGAGGGGTCGGAAAGACATTCAGAAATAGGCCGTCTGAGTTTGAAGTTAAGGGATGAGTAGATGCTGCCCGACAGAGACCAAGGTGAGGGGATCCCTGGAGGAGTCTACTGCAGGAGCAAAGGAAAACCTGGCATCATGATCATGCCCCAGTCCCCCTTTCCTTTTGTGACAGCCCCCCAGAAAAGTCCCTCACATGAGGGTGTGTCAGTCATGGCAAGGAACTGTGGGGAAAGAGACCAGACTGGAAAGAACCAGCGGGAGGAGTTTCTCCTCCCCTCAGATGTGCCTCCGGGCAGGGGGCTGTGCCTCTGGCTCAGGCCGGGGGTCTGTGACCATCCTGTGTGCTGGCACCCAATATCTTGTCTTGGTTGATTCTCCAACCACCCCATCAGATCGGTCATGTAGGCCCACTCAATAGAAGAGGAAACTTGAGGCTGTGAGGGGCTAAATGGTGGCCCCCAACACACAGGAACTAAGGCAGTCACGTTTCAGAAACCTCCAGTGCCATATCCCTTCAGGAGACACTGATTCGAGGGGAGCAGTGTGGTCTGTGCTGACTGACAGACAGAACACTGTGGTCTCAGGAACCCAGTGGGCCCCCAAACCTGTCTGTGGAGTGTCAGGGAGGATTCCTGGGGATGTGAGGGCTGAGATGAGCTAGTTTTCTAAGTCACGAGTGTAGTGGGATGAGTCTGAAGGATCTGGAGGCCCCCAGGGGATGGTGAAATCGTGGCTGCTACAGAGCCAGATGGCCTTGAGCTGTAGAGCCGCAACTCAGCACCTCAAGACTTGGTTTCTGAGGCTCTGGTCTGTGCCTTTGGCCTTGAAGCCCTTTTCTGTCCTGCCTCACCCATTTACCAGCGGACACCTTCTTATCCTGAAAAGCTCAGGTCAATCATCGCTCCCTGCCTTTTCTTACTCCCCAGGCAGGGACAAGCACCTCCCAGTTTTGGCTCTTGTCCTTCTTTGAGAATGGACCTAATGGACACGTGTGATTAAAAACGTGTGATTTGGGGCCTCCCTTGTGGTCCAGGGGTTAAGTCTCAGTGCTGTCACCCTTGTGGCCTGAGTTTGATCCCCAGCCAGGGAGCTAACCCACAGGTCGAACAGACCTCTCCTGTCTCATCTGCTGCTCCCCTCAGCAGTGTATTTCAGTTGATCCTCCCATTCGGCTCCCCAATCTCTCTCTCTGGTGAATCTTCTCACATCCCGCACCTCTGGCCTACACTTCAGGTCTTTTACTAAATAAATAATTTTTTTAATTAAAAAAAAAAAAGCAACAAAACTCGTGCCTTGGGGACAGGTGACCCGTCATAGCCATGTGGGGCCAACTCATGCAGCTCTTCAGCTTTGGGGAGCCTGGAGGGATTGGGCAGGGCAGTGGGTGGAGGGACTTTATGGGAAATGAGCTTTGCTGTAGCCCAGGTGAGCTGGCACTGAGTGGGTTTGCGCCCCAGCGCTGTTTCTGTGTTCCTGCCTGGTGAACTCAACTGCACTGAGCTAACCTCTTGGTGCCTGGCTTTTTTTCTGTTCCCAGCTTGCCCTCTGAGGAGGAGCTGCAGTCACCATCACTGTCATCTCCTCCCCAGCCAGAGCCCAAGGAGCACCCATCTCTACCTCCCAGCCCCCCAGACGTCCCCCCAAAGCCTCTTCGCTTGGTTCCGGAGTTTGGTGAGTGGAGCAGCCAGGCAAGGGGCTCTTGGTGGTGGCTGTCACCTTTCTGGTGGGTGCTGGACAGGTGAACATCTCCCTTCATCCTCAGATGGGGAGTCAGCACCCACCGCTATCACCTTACTGGCTGTTTAGATGTGGGTACATGGCAAATTGTTTGAGTCTGGAAGTGTTTTCCATTGGTGTGGGTGATTTTGTTTATCCTGGGGTTATTCTCTTTTCTTAATTCTCAATTCTTGTTGCTTTTTTTGCTTTTTGTAGACATGCCCTTCGCATGACCCCCAGTTTTGCTGCCTCACCAGACCTCCTGGGATGGCCTGCCCCTCTCCTTTGGCCACCCCTTAGTGCTGTCCTATCAGGTTCCCCGAGTATAAATAGCACTTCCTGTCCCCTGTGTCTTTTAATGCAAGCCAGGCTGCGGTGGGGTCCTCCGTGGGGGTGGGGTCCTCGGTTGAGGGTGGCTTTGTGAAACCAGGCTGAGGTGGGGGGGCCAAGATTCTTGCTTCTGAGTCTCTTCTACCCCATTTTCTCCCCAGATGACTCTGACTATGATGAGGTCCCAGAGGAGGGGCTGGGGGCCCCAACTTGCGTGATGACCAAGAAGGTGTGGCAAGCGGTGTTTAGGGTTTGTGCCTGTAGGTGTGGGGGGCAGGCAGCCTTTCAGACCCTGGGGAGCCCTGAGCAGAAAATGGGCAGCTGGTTTCCAGGAGTCCCCTGCCCCTCACAGGAGTGGGGTCAGCCCAACTCCAGACGTGGGACTGGCCCTGGGGCCCTGGTCTGCAACTCCGACTCTGGGCTTCCACTGCATCTGGGTGGGCATGTGTGGCCGCTTTTCTTCTTGTGTGTTTTGAACGTGTCTGTCCTGCAGTATCTGTCTATCTCTGTTTCACTTTCTGTGTTCCCGTGTCCATCCCCCACCCCCAAGCATTCGTCTTATGTCTGAGTACCTTTATCTTTCTCTTTGTCTCTGATCTAGGCCATGCTTGCCGATTCTCTCTGTCCATGTGACCCTGACTCCCCGGGTCCCTGTGCAACCTTCCAGCGGGGGAGGGGCATGTGAGGAAGCAGAAATAAAAGTGCTGAGTCGTGTGGGTCTGGGATGGAGTGGATGGGGGTATGTGGCAGCCTCTGGGTTGTGGGTGTGATCTGGAGTGTCAGGAAGTATGATGCTGAGCTAATCTGGGGATGCAGGACCAACCCCCAGCGAGACCAGTCCCGAGGGCCGTGCGTGTGGCCAGTCTGCTGAGTGAGGGGGAGGAACTGTCCGGGGACGACCAAGGGGATGAGGATGAGGGTGACCACGACTACGAGGGTGTTCCCAAGTGAGTACACACTCCTCTCAGACTCTTTTTCCACCCAACCACCCCCTTGCCCAAGCCCTGCCTAGCCTCAACCATCCATCTCAGCCCTCCCCCAAGAGACCCCCCCACCACCCCTCACTCCCTCTCCTCTCCCCCAGTGGTGGATGGCACACCAGCAGTCTGAGTTCATCCTTGCCCAGCAGCCTCCTGATCCCTGAGCTCCCGCTGCCACCATACCCCATGGATGGGCTTCCGGGGGGGCCTGCCCCCATCACACCGGTCATCAAGGCTGGCTGGCTGGACAAGAACCCTCCACAGGGGTGAGTGAACCCTCTTGGGTGCTGCTTGTGCTCTGCCTGCTGTGAGTCGTGCTCTGGTTCAGGGTTTCATGGATCCAAACACCAGAGGCGTTGAGGCTGTTTGAGCTGGTCTCCCTCCAGGCAAACTGTAATCCCCAAGACCCCCCACCAGACCTATTTTATTACCCTTAGTTGTGGGAAGTCCCATGGTGAGTCTGACTCCCTCGCTCTTGCTGTAGGCGAATTATATCTTCTTAGTTCGGGATCATTCTTTCTTTGGCTCTAATTTTGTATGTGGCTGCTAGAGGGGCTGGGGTGATCCTGGAGACTCCCCCCTGACCACCACTGCTTTGCTTTGTTGTCCCTCTGCCTCTGTCTCTCTAGATCTTATATCTATCAGAAGCGCTGGGTGAAACTGGATGCTGATTACCTGAGATACTTTGATAACAGCAAGGTGAGGCCCATGTCAGTCTCCAACAGGACACCTGCTCGCTGCAGCCTGGCCCTAGGCTGAAGCCCCGCACTGGACCTTAGTGGCGCCCCTCCTTGGGCGAATCCTTGTCCGAGCTGAAGTCTGACTCCTTGAACCACATCCCGCTGTTCCAGTGACCCGTGTGGGCTGTGGTCAGCTCAGCATCCCGTGGGGGCTGTCCCTGACCACCTGTGGGGGATGAGGCTGCAGCCTTTGTTTCAACTGAGGCTGAGGGCGTCGGGGCGGGGCCGGGCCTCTGTGGATGCAGTGCCACCCCCACAGTACAGCCCCTCTCTCTTCCCCAGGACGCCTACTCTAAGCGTTTTGTCTCTGTGGCCTGCATCTCCCGGGTGGCTGCCATCGGGGACCAGAAGTTCGAAGTGATCACCAACAACCGGAACTTTGCGTTCCGGGCTGAGAGTGATGGTGGGGACTGGTGGGGAGCAGAAGACTGGCAGATTGGTCAGATAAGTGGGAAGAGAACGAGGGTACATCTGCACTCCTACATCAGACCCAGCAGGGGGATACCTTCTCACTAGCTCTGTGCCTGTGACACCCATTGAGTCTTTAGAACCAAACATTCCATTTACAGGCGTAGACAGGTGAGGGCTTGCCTAGCACAAGTGACACAGCTGGGACAGAGGCCTGAGTTTGTCCAAGCCAGAGCACTCAGAGATAATAGAGGTTGGGTGGACATTTTGGCACAGGTTTTCATGGGCTCCCTCCCTGTCGGGCTGAGCTTGGGCTTACACCTTCCCCTCTCTCCACAGCGGAGCGGAAGGAGTGGATGCAGGCCCTGCAGCAGGCGGTGGCTGAGCAGCGTGCCCGGCTGTTAAGTGCTTACCCATTAGGGATTCGAGTCCCAGAGCCCCCTGACCATGCTGGCAGCCTAGAGCTACGTGGCTTCAAGAATAAACTCTATGTGGTTGTGGTCGGGGACAAAGTACAGCTGTACAAGAATCTGGAGGTATGGAAGGATAGACCAGACCATGGAACCCTGACCCTGCCCCGTGCCCTGGGCTTGAGCTCTGCTCTCCCCCCACTCCCGCCCCCCATCCTTACTACGTCTACTTTTTGCCTGTTGCTCTTCCTGCCCCTACCTTTGGCCTTACCCCCTGCTTGGGCCCTGAGTGTTACCTTCCCATCATGGCCTGTCTTCTGCAATCCTACTTAACGGCTAGTGGCCCTTGGGTTGCTAATGGCCCCTTAGCCCAGGCCCATTTACCTGGGCCCAGATTCCTAGGCCAGCCACCATCTCGCTAGGCATTTTTCAGGCCCTAAGGTACCAGCTCCCTCTTCTCTTCACCCTCTCTCTGACCTTGAGCCCCACCTTCCAAGTCTTGCCCTCATTTCTTCCCGCCTACCTGCCAGGAGTACCACCTGGGCATTGGCATCACCTTCATCGACATGAGTGTGGGCAACGTGAAAGAAGCAGACCGGCGCAGCTTTGACCTCACCACCCCTTACCGAATCTTCAGGTGAGCCTTCCTCCCCTTTCTCACCTGTCTCCTCTCTCCCTCCCAGTCTTCTTTTTTTGCAGGTGTGGAAGGCTCTCCTTTCTAGGATGGATTCTCTCTTCCTGTCCCACCTCAGACCTGCCCCCTCTTGCTGGTCCTTTATCGTCTCATCGCTACCCTCACTCATGCTCCACCTCCCCCAGGCCATCTCTGTCACCTCTTCCTCGCCACAGAGTTGCCCACGCTGACTTTCTGCACTGTGCACCCACTGCTGTCCCTCCAGCCAGCTCTGCTTCCTCAGAAGTGCTCCCTGTTACTAATACTTGGCCAAGATGACAGGCTATTCTCCCCTCATTACCTTATGGGATCCATCTGGGGCCCTCATTATGCCGCTAAGACTACCATCCTGGTTTCCTCTGGCCTCAGCTGGCTCTCACTGATACGTTCCTTAGTCCTCTCCTGGGTAGCCTTGCCCATCCTGGGCCTTCAGCTGCCACCTTGAGGCACTGTGCTGTGCCTGGTTCAAATCCTGTGTATTAGTCAGCCTGGTTGCCTTGACAAAATACCACAGACTGGGGGTCTGAACAATAGTAGCTTATTGCTCACTGTTCTGGAGGCTGCGAGTCCAAGATCAAGGTGGCATGGGGGTTGGTTTCTGGGGAGACCTCTGTTCTTGGCTTGAGGTTGGCCGCCTCCTCACTGTGTCCCCACACGGCCCACATGGAGAGAGAGCTTATTCCTGTCTTTTTAAATAAGGAAACCAGGCTTGTCAGATTAGAGGTTCACTCTTGACATTATTTAACTGCTTAGACTACCACCGTCAAGCCAATACTGCAATTGAGTCAGGTGAATTTTTGGCTTCCCAGTGCAAATAAAAGTTATGTTTATACTTTCCTATAGTCTGTTCACTGCGCAATGCTAGTGGTAGGTCTGAAAGAAGCCAGTGCACAATACCCTAATTAAACGTGACAAAGAGACCCAAAGTGGTCGCATGCCACTGGGAAACGGCACCAGTAGACTAACTCCACACGTGTTTGCCGTAGACCTGACGTTCGTAAAACAGAAATGTCTGCAAAGTGGTCAAGTGCCGTGTAGTGAAACGGCATGTGCTTGTGTCTCTACAGGCCTTATCTTTAGATCCAGTCCTCCTGGGGCTGAGAGCTTCAACCTGTGACTCGGGGGGACACAATTTGGCCCATAACCTTCTGGGTCCTGGGCAAGTGACTTGGCCTCTTTGTGCCTCATCTTCCTCCATGGGTGGGATCACGGTGAGCTTTGTAAAGCGGTCGCCTGACCCAGCAGAATGCTGTCAGCCCCTCGGAATGCTGTCGGCCCCTCCATCAGCATCTCCTTCGCCCCTAGCCCAGGCCTGTCTCCAGCAGGTCATCCTCCAGAGCTCTAGGCCTGCGTGTCTGGCAGTTCTGTGGACCTCTCCCTTCTTCAGCTTCCAACTCACTGTTGTTCCTGGGCCCCTTATCTCCACCCACCCATGGGGACCCTCTTCTCCACCCCCCTCCTGTGCAAACCTGTCACCACCCCTATGCCACCTTCACTTTCATATCTCTCTGTCCCACCCTCTGCCCTTCACCTTTGGCCCTGGGCCTGTGTCTTCTCTGGCCCAGCACCTGCCTCCTTCCCCAGAGTCTGCATATCTGAGCCACTCCACCCACTGGGACCCCAGCAGTGTCTTTTCTTTTTGTCCCAAGACCAGTTTATTTTGTTAACTTCTTGTATTTGAAGTTCTCTGTGACATCCTTAGTCCGAGATTCTTTGCCATTTTCCTTCGCTATCACACAACTGCTACCAATCACTTTCTGGAGTTTTCCTCTTCTGACAGATTTACAGAGGCCTGTGTTCTAGTTTCTTGTCCCCCACCTGAACTAAGTAGGTGTGTTCAACACCAACGGTCTGCAGCCCTTGATGGACACAGGCAGGCTCATCACCATTGGATGCAGGGGTGCAAACGTGAGCAACTTCGCAGACTCCGTGTTGTAGGCTTTTGCGGGTGAGGGCAGCCTTCAGCACTAAAATCCATGAAACCTGCATAGCCACACCTTCTTGCTCAGGGCCATGGGTTATGAGTAAAGCTAAAGCTCATGCACACAGGTGACTCTGAGGCAGCCAGGAAAGAGACACATCTCTGTACCCTTCTCTCCCTAGTGAAACTCGCTGCTCCATTGTCTTCTGGGTGCACTTTGACCTGACCTCCTCTGCCCATGATAGCACTGCTTCGTCTGTTTCCCGTCCTTCCGCAGGTGCTGGGAATGTGCCGTGTGCTCTCCTACCCCTTTGAATCCGTTGCTCCCTCTAGGGCTTTGGCTCCAGAACACCCTTCCACCTGGCTAAGCTTTTCTAAGCTTTGTCAAGTCTTAACTCGGGAGTCATTTCTTTCCAATAGTTGTTTTCTAGTCCCTGGGGTGGGAGGGGTGAGTGGCAGGACCCCTACCCCATACATCTCTTAGTTCACGGTCTCCTTGTCTTTGTCCACACCCAGCTTCCCCGTGGACCCAGAATGCCCTGCTCCTCTGACTGTGAATTTGCCACTCCAGTTTCCTCAGTTTCCCCTTGAGTATTTTCCCCAAATCCTTCTGATCTTTTCTCACCATCCTGCCTCCATTCCTGTTTCCCCAGCTTCTCAGCCGAATCAGAGCCAGAGAAGGAGCAGTGGCTGGAGGCCATGCAAGACGCCATTGCTGAGGCTCTGTCTACCTCAGAGGTGGCTGAGCGCATCTGGGCTGTGGCTCCCAACAGATTATGTGCTGACTGTGGTGCCAGCCAGCCTGACTGGGCTTCCATTAACCTCTGCATCGTCATCTGCAAGCGCTGTGCAGGTGTGTGTGTGTGTGTGTGTGTGTGTGTGTGTGTGGCGGGGGGGGGGAGGCATGGGGGTACCAGGCTGAGGGGTGACAGGGCTGGTGTGTGGGGTTGGCTGAGGGGCTGGAGTGACAGTAGTCAGAGGGATTTGGCTAATCATGTCTCATGCACTAGAATAAAAGAGGTAAAATGGCTCATTCAGGGTCAGCTTGCAAACATGTGGATCTAGATTTGAAGTGAGACCTGTTGACCCAGCACCCTGTTGGTGAGATGGGAGGACTGACCAGGGTCAGGCTGAACAGGGCTTTTTCTGCAGAGGAGGATTTGGGACTGGTTTTTCTCAATAGGGGAACAGGAGGCAGGACTTAGTAAGGACACAGCCAGGTTTTGCATCAGGTTGGCTGATGGGTACGAGCTGAGTTGGAAGGGGTGGAGCTGTGGGGTAGCGGGGCAAATGTCCAGGAGGCCTTGGTTCATGCGGTCTGGGCATACGACAGTGATGACTTGGGTGGAGACCAGATTAGAAGGGCATCAGTTCCCATGTTGTGAGGTGACTAAAGTGGACGTGGTGGCCCAGAGGAGGTTCTGGGGGGACGGGGACAGAGGCAGAGCAGAGCCAAACTCTCCTTGTACCCCCAGGCCTCTGCCCCACCCATTCCATGATCCTTTGAGGCATCTGTACCTGAGCAAGGCCCAGTTTCCTCCAGCACCATCTCCCCCTCTGCCCTTTCATACCACAAAGACCATTAGCTGCTCACTGTGTCAGACTTGTTCTAGGTATGGAGCCCTACAGCAGGAAGTCAAGGTCCCTGCTCTTTCAGAGACAGAAGGTGCACTAGCCAAGAGGGGCACTAGGTAGCAATAAGTGCCATGAGGCAGAGAATGTATTTGTTGGGGAAGCTTGCTCTGAGGAGGCATGAGATCAGGTGAGAGGGACAGGAAGAAGCCGGTGACTGCGAGGTGGAGAATGAGAGTCCAGGTGCAGAGAACAGTGAGTGCAAAGGCCCTGAGGCAGGAATGAGCATGGGTGATCAGAGGAGGGTACGACTGAGCATGACTTTGTGGACAGTGGGAAAGATGTGTGAGATGAATTTGGTGGTTAAGAAAGTAAGGAGGCCCTCCCTGGTGGCGCAGCGGGTTAAAGTACAACACTGAGAAGCTAAAGCCACTTCCGCATGAGTTCGATCCCCGCCTGCCTCGGAGGTGACCACATGGCGCGCGGCAGACCTCTCCTGACCCGCCCGCTGCTACCCTCAGCAGTGTACTTCGTCAATCTGCCTGTTCTGCTCCCCACTCTGTCTCTGGTGAAGCCTCTTGCAGCCCCTGAGCCTCTGGCCTGTACCCCAGTTCTGTATGCACAAATAAATAAATCTTTTTTTTAAAAAAGAAAGAAAGTAAGGAGCTCCTGGGCATCTATAGGAGAGATAGGAAGTAGGGAATTAGCATTTTAAAGACATCACTAATTGGGCTGTGTGGAGAGTGGCCTGCAGGGGCCAAACATGATTGTAGGCTGCCATCTGGGGGGCTGCTGTGGGAGCCTGTGGATGTTGCCCAGATAGCTGCCCCATGCTCAAAGCAGGGTGCTCAAAGCAGGGGCATCTGACTGCATTCCTGGAGCTGCAGGCCTCACTGCTGGGTGGGCTCAGAGGTGGGAGGGGGAGTAAGCATGTGAAAGGAAGGACCCAGACTACCTTCTCTCTCCAGGAGAGCACCGTGGCCTGGGTGCTGCCATCTCCAAAGTGAGAAGCCTGAAGATGGACAGGAAGGTGTGGACGGAAACACTCATTGAGGTGCGGAGACTTGCTGCCTGTTGTACTCAGGGTCTGCCTCACTCAGCTTGCCACCTGGGTCTCCCGACCCCATTTCCTCTGTCTCTGTTATCCCTGCAGCTTAGAGCTAGAGCAAAGTCTTGGGATCATCTGGTGGGAGGAGACTTTGGAAAAGCTGATATTTGCCAAAGTCAGTGAGGTGGCCAATGTGCGCTCAAAATGTTTTTACAGTTTTATAAAGGGACTGTTAAAAAACAATAAAAATATAATGCAACAGAGATTATGTATCCAGCAAAGCCTAAGATGTTTACTCCAGTGAGTACACTCATTAGGGGGCACTCACATACATCCATATAGACACTTGTGCCTGTCTATGTAGACCAGGGTTCGACTTCACACAGCCTCCCTGACAGCAGCAGGACCTAAGGCTCTAAAGCAGTTTGGGTGTACAGTCCCTGTGAGCCAGGATTAGAATCCCCACTTTCCAATGAGAACATCAGGGCCCGCGGAGAGAAATGACTTGCCTCAAAGTCACAGAATTCTGTGGTGGCACTTATGCCCCCACCACTCACTATAGGTCCTGAGAAAAAGGCCTGGTGGGGGGTGTGATCAGGGAAACAGCTGTGGGATAAATGATCAGCCGAATGAAAGGAGAAATAAACAAGTCCCCTAAACAGTGGGCCCCAGGGCTTCTACAGAAAGTGCCCTTGAGCCCAGAGAGGACTGTCAGGAGCAGAAGATTTGTTCAGAATCTCTGCCCATCCTATTGGCTGACAAATTAGGAGCACCCCACCCCCCAGTCTCAAGAAGGTAAAGTTCCAGCTGTGGGAATGGGTGGGGCAGCAAGGCTCCCAGTCAAGTGCCAGGCCTGGGGACCCACGTGTCAGACTGTCTGCTCTTGTCCTGTCACTGAGCTGAGAACTGGGCTCAGGCCTGGGGCTGGTGTCCATGGCTAGCAGATAGGGGCTCTGCCTCTCCCAGGCCCACGCCTGACCATCTGAGATTGCTGTGGGCACAGGCCCCTAGCCCTAAGCTGCCCTCTAACCTCTTGCCCACACCCACAGCTCTTCCTACAGCTGGGCAATGGTGCTGGCAACCACTTCTGGGCAGCCAACGTGCCCCCCAGTGAGGCACTGCAGCCCAGCAGCAGCCCTGAGGCCCGGCGGAACCACCTGGAGGCCAAGTACCGAGAGGGCAAGTACCGCCGTTACCACCCGCTCTTCGGCAACCAGGAGGAGCTGGACAAGGTCAGGGTCCCTTGAGACCGCCCCTTGTCTTCCTGGCTCCCTCCTCTCACTCCATCGTAGTTCACCTTTTCTAACAGTTCAGAGTGATGAGTTGATATACGGGGAGACTGAGGTCCAGACGGTGGAAGGGTCCCGAGTCACATGGAGACTTGGGGCAAAGCAAGGAGTCAGGCCTGGCCCTTGGGCCACGGCCACATCTCTAACATCTGTCTGCCTCTCCCCCGCTCCTGATTCCTTTGTCTCCCGCACCCTGTCCTGCTCCTTCTGAATCCTGCCAAAAGGAGTGAACTTGATGAGGATGCTATTTCCTGTCAGGCTCATGAAAAACAGCTGGCTGCTCTGATCCATCCACCACCACCACCCCCCCATCCACACCCCGCTCAAGATGAGGCCTTGTGTGGGCCCCAGCCCTGACAGGCCGGGAGCCAACCCCTGGGCCCTGGTCTGGCTCTGCTGAGTGGGAGGTAGCCTGCTCCGAGGCAGGGGGATGCCACTTGTGACCTCCAGTTGGCCTTCAGGGCCTCCCCCAGCAGCCCCACCCAGGCTCAGTTTGCTAGAAGCCCAGTGGGAGCCAGGCTTCTACCTCCCAGGAACCCAGGCGTCCAGTCTCCAGCCCAGCCCAGTCTAGCCCGCCAGCCAGGAGGGGCGGCACTCCGATTGGTTGGAAGGGCTGGGCAGGCCGTGAGGAATTCAAATGTGGGAGGAATTAGCTACAAAGCACCCCCTCCTCTGCTCTTCCACAAGGCAGAGGGAGCTTGAGATCCTCTAGAGAACAGGCTTGGCGATTGATAAGGTGCTGGGGCACTAGCAGGGGTGGGGCCTGGGCTTTCTTTCTCTCTCTCTGTCTTTCTTCCTCCCTCTTCTTTCTTTAAACCTGACGATTCCTTCCTCTTGTCTCTCCTCCCCCATCTCCCCTACCCCACTGGCCCCTCACCCACGTCCCAAGCTTTGGGCTGACTTTTCCCCCTTCCTCCTCTTCCCTCCTCCCAGGCCTTGTGTGCTGCAGTCACCACCACAGATCTGGCTGAGACCCAGGCGCTCGTGGGCTGTGGCGCTGGGGTCAACTGCTTCTCAGGGGACCCTGAGGCCCCCACACCCCTGGATCTTGCTGAGAAGGCGGGCCAGACGCTGCAGATGGAATTCCTTCGGAATAACAGGACCATGGGTGAGTGGCTGGTGGGACTGTTCACCTCTCGGGTTGGGGCCTCCCTGCTGCAGGGTCTGTCTCTTTGGAGAGTGTGGGAGGGGGTGCATAGTAGCTATAAGGGTTGAGTTACGTGCTACTTGAGCTGTGATTGCAGCTCTTTGAGGGGCCCTGCAGCAACAGTGTCTCTGATTTGGAGTGTGTTTGGTTGCATGTCAGTGTACATTTGTGCATCTGCTTCTTCATCTGTGTGTCCCTTTGCACATCTATCTGTGCGCGCCTTGTGTATCTGTAGATCCCTCCGTGAGCTGTATGTGGGCCCCAGACAGTCTGTGTGCTGGTGTCTCTGTCTCCAGCTGCCATGGCTCTGTGTGGCCTTGCACCTGGGCTTGTGGCTTTGGGGTTTGTGCCTGCACCGAGTGTATCTGTGTTGTTGTGGGTGGGTGGGGCTCTGTCACAGACGGGGGTTGGGTCCCACTCTCCAAATGGTTGAGAAGGGGACAGTCGGGTTAAGTGGCTTTGATTATGGCCCAGACTTGGCCTCTGGGACCATATCCCAGGACTGAGGGTGGAGCTCAGCTGGGTCTCTGGGCTCAGGGCCATGGGTGGCTGGGATGTGCTGGACTGGAGAGGACCTTGGTGTGCAGGGAGGTGCAGGAGACCACCCAGCTGGCTTGGGCTTTGGGGCCGCTGGGAGCAGGGCTGGAGCCAGCCTGCTTCCTTAAGCCCCGAGTTGTCTGGGACAGATCTCCCTCTGGGGATTATTAGTGAGTTTACCCAAGGCCCCCCCTCATTCTAGCGTGCTGGCCTGATGCCTTCAACAGGGAGAGCAGACTGGGCTGGAGAGTCAGAGAAGCTTCCTGGAAGGGGGAATAGTGGAGCTGAACTTTGGGAATAGGGTGGAATTTTTACAAGTAGAGAGAGAGGTGGAGATTGGCTTGGGCAGACTAGAGGTGGAAATGAGAGCCTGAAGATAATAGTCAGGGAGCAGGGAAGCTAGGGTTGGTGGGTGTCCAACCCAAGGGAGGTGAGGTGGGGACACTCCTGGATGACTCCTGGGACCGCATCCCAGGACTGAGGGTGGGGCTCATGACTGGCTGTTCTTACCCCCACTTCCTGAAAGAGATACCTCGACTGGACTCAACGAAGCCCCCGGAAAAGCAATACTCGGTTGTCTTGCCAACTGTGAGCCACAGCGGCTTCCTCTACAAGACAGCTTCTGCTGGGAAGCCGCTGCAGGACCGCCGTGCCCGGGAAGGTGGGTGCCGGGCCAGACCTCACTCCTGGCTGTGGCGTTCTGGCGTGGTGCCTGGGACGCTGGGGCTGACCAGCTGGCGGACCCAGTGAGTGCCAGGTGTACGCTGGCAGTCACCTGGCAGCTTCCTGGTGTGAGCTTTGGTCCACACTAGGTGCTTGGGGAACGGGCGGCTGGGAGTGTTCTCTGGCCATAGCCCCGCAGAGCAAGTCACTGCCAGTTCCCTTCACTGAGCTCTTCCTGGGCGTGGGCCCTGTGCGGGACATCTGGGGTGTCAGCCTGTGGATACTAGGGGATTTGAGGACTGAGCTTAAAGCGCCACCCCTCTTTCATCTCAGTCTTCCCTTTGCTTCACAGTGCAGTAAAATCCACAGGGACCTGCCTGTCAGCTGCCCCAGCTCGTTACCTCTCTGACCTGCTTCGCTCATGTGTTCCAGCTTTCCCTGCTGCTCCTCCAGCATGCACGTTCACTCCCACCGTGGGCTTTGCGCGTGTTGTGCCCTCTGCCCTACACGCTTTGTGTGATCCTCCCCTTGTTCAATCAGGTCCCTGTTTAAAGTCACTCCTCAGAGACATCATGCCCTGCTACCTGTCCAAAATTTTACCGCTCACTGCTGACCCTCCTTTTACACCACTTACCTGTCATTCATTTGTCTAGTTAAGTCTCTCTGTCGGTACTCTATCTGTGTCCCACTGGCACATAGGCTCCTTTCAGCTACCGCTGTCGCCCCCAGCACCTGGAACAGTGCCAAGCACACAGTGGCTTCACCTGCAGGATGAGGAGTGGCTGGCACAGGGCAGTCTCTCCTGGAGAGAGCCCACCCAGTGGTCAGGCTCTGGGATACCTCCCCCCTGCCCTCCCTGTCCACCTGTCAGGTGCAAATGTCATGTTCTCATGGGCAGGACGAAAGTCAGCGTCTGCAGAGGGAGCATGCTGAGGTCATCGTGTCTCTCAGTGGTCCCAGGCGACGCCCTCAGGTCCAGCAGAGATATCTTTGGAACCCTTTGATGTCTCCACCGCACTGTCCCTGGGGTGCTATCCCTTGTCTTCCTGCTCCTGCCTGATAATGTCATTTATGTAACTGCCTGAGTCATCCTTTTTTGCCTTGGCTGCCAGGAAGCTCTGAGCCAAAGTGAAGCTCCGTGCTGTGAAGTCTGTGAGCCTGCGTGGCTCGGCATTCTGTTCTTTCTCCTACTTTTCTCAGTTCATAGTCCACTTCTATTCCATTATAGGACCTTGTCTGACTCATCAGAGTCATTCTAGAAGGAGGCAGAGTATAAAGCCATGGGTGCTACTGGCAGTGGCAGGGGCTTTAGGGGGAATGGAAGATTTCCTATGGCATTTGGGTTCACCCTGAAGGATGGAGAGTGTGGGTGGAGAGAACAGGGTGAGCAGAAGTGGGGAGGGTGGGGTGTGTGTTCAGAAGTGGTCGGAGAGGCGACGGAAAGGTGGGTAGGGGCATACCTGGTGTGCTGAGGGGTAAACCTTGTCCTGAGGTCTGTGGGGTAAGGCAGGCCATGGAGGCATTTTGAGCAAAGGAAGGACATAGCCCGATTTTAGCTAGGTCTTGGAAGACATGAGAATGGGAAACCAATGAAAAACCTCTGCAGCCAGGGGAGAGGTGTGGGTAGTCTGGGACCAAGGGGGTAGAGAGAAGAGCACAAACTTGGGGAAGCTTGTGAGTTAGAATGAATGGGCAGGTGGGAGTGGGGACCCAGTGAGGATGCCAAGGTGGTGTTCATGGCTCCCCTGCCCAACTTCTCCCCAGAGTTCAGCCGACGCTGGTGTGTCCTTAGTGATGGGGTCCTGAGCTACTATGAGAATGAGCGGACCGTGACCCCCAACGGGGAGATTCGGGTCAGCGAGATTGTGTGCCTGGCAGTACCTCCTCCTGACACCCATGGGTGAGCACCCCGGGCAGAATTACTGCTGTAATGTCCACTCCTTCATTTGGGAGACCGGGGAACAGGCCCAGTACAGGCAAGATGTCCCGAGTCACACAGCAAATAGCTGTGTGAGCTGTAGCAGGTCTCCTGAGGCCTGAGCCTGGGCTTTTCCAGTGACCTCTTAGCAGTCCAGGGGAGGACAGTGGTGGGCAGTGTGGGGAGGGCTGGGCCAATGCTGGGTGGGGTGGCCTTGAATCCTAGCCTGTGTATCTACAGCTTTGAGTACACCTTTGAGGTATACACGGAGGGGGAGCGGCTGTACCTGTTTGGGCTGGAGAGTGCAGAGCTGGCTCGTGAATGGATCAAGTGCATTGCTAAGGTGGGCATGGGGCTATCATGGGGGGTTGACAGGACCCATGGTGAGACCTCTTGGCTCACTCCATGTATTCCCAGCTTCCCAACTCATGGAGCAGGGACGGGTTAGGAGCTGACACAGGGCAGACTTCTTAGATTAAGGGCCTGATATAATCTCCTGGGAGCCCAGATGAGCTAGTCTTGGTCCTGGCTCTTCGGTAGCTCCCAGGTTGGTGGGGGGGAGATAGAGGGGGTTGAGGCAGCAACAACAGTACAATCAGTGCTGTAACAGAGGGCAAGAATGCTTTGGCAATGTGGGGACCCCAGAGAAGGGACACCCCTGCTGGTGTCTGGGAAGGCTTGAGTGTGAAGTAAGACAAAGTGATCAAGGTCATTCAGTGTTAAGTTCTGCCCTGGGGAAGAGAGGAGGCAGCAGGTAGGAAGAGGGCTTATCCCCTCAGGCCAGGGAGCTGGGGGTCCTGGGAAAGCGGTACCATTGGCTGGTGGTCTCCCTAGCTGCTCCCCCTCTCCTGGCTTCCCTACCAGGCATTTGTGCTCCCCCTGGCTGAAGATCTGCTAACCCGGGATTTTGAACGGCTTGGGCGTCTCCCCTGCAAAGCTGGTCTGAGCCTACAGTGTGCCCAGGAGGGCTGGTTTTCCCTCATTGGCTCCGAGCTCCGTGCTGTCTTCCCAGAGGGAAACTGTGAAGAACCACTGCAACTTCGGAAACTGCAGGAACTTTGTGCGTGGCCCCAGATCTAGGCCCCCAGCCTCTAGGGCACCCACTTCTCTAGGGCTTCCCGTCTCCCAACCCTGCCCTGAAGTCTAAACTCTCCCTGGTCTGGTCAGAAGGAGCCAGCCTGCCCTCTTACTCCCTTTCCTGTCTGGGAGCACATCTCAGCAACCCCACGTCATGGGGGGGGGGTGTCCAAAAACCCTAAGGATAGAACAGCTTGGGGATCATCAAGTCTGGGTCTCTCTCATCTTGACTGGCCCTTCCACAGCCATCCAAGGGGACGGTGAGAACCAGGTGCTGGTGCTGGTAGAACGAAGGAGGTGAGCTTCCCTGAGGGGGCTTTGTGGCAGTATTTGGGACAGGGGGTGCAGGAGTAGGTCCCCAAGTGACCAACTCTCCCTGGCCCAGGACGCTGTACATCCAGGGGGAGCGACGGCTAGACTTCACGGCCTGGCTGGGGGCGATCCAGAAAGCTGCAGCCAGCTCAGGGGACACGTTGTCGGAGCAGCAGCTGGGAGACTCTGATATCCCAGTGATTGTGTACCGCTGTGTGGACTACATCACGCAGTGTGGTGAGCCTACCCTCGTGACACACGCCCCACCCTGCCCGCCTCCTCAGACAACACTTACCACCCTCCCAGGAGGCCCAGTCCCTCACAGCACACGAAAGTAGCTGCGTGGCCCTGCTTCTGCGTCAACACCCCCCCCC